AAAAGCAAAAATAAACAAATGGGACCTAATGAAACTTAAAAGCTTTTGCACAACAAAGGAAACTATAAGCAAGGTGAAAAGACAGCCCTCAGATTGGGAGAAAATAATAGCAAACGAAGCAACAGATTTTATTTTCTTGGGTTCCAAAACCACTGTGGACCGTGGCTGCAGCCATGAAACTAAAAGACACTTGCTCCTTGGAAGGAAAGCTATGGCAAGCTTAGACAGCATATTAAAAATTGGATTCATCACCTTGCCTCAGTCCATGTAGTCAAAACTCTGGTTTTTCCAGTAGTCATTTATGGATGTGAGAGTTGGACCATAAAGAAGGCTGAGCCCAGAAGAATTGATGCTTTTGAACTGTGGTGCTGGAGAAGACTCTTAAGAGTCCCTTGGACATCAGGAAGATCAAACCAGTCAATCCTAAAGGAATTCAACCCTGAATATTTATTGGAAGGACTGATGCTGAAACTCCAATAATTTGGCTACCTAATGGGAAGATCTGACTCATTATAAAACATCCTGATGCTGAAAAGACTGATGGCAAAAGGAGATGGGGGCAGCAGAGGATAAGATGGTTAGAGAGCATCACCGACTCAATGGACATGAATTTGAACAAATTTGGGAGATAGTGGAGGACAGAGGAGCCTGTTGTGCTGCAGTCCATGGGGTTGCAGAGAGTGGGACATGACTTAACAACAACAGAAACTTTGTGGTACCACTTGCCTGCCCTTTCCACCATCTGCCTCACATCATAGCTGTATCTGTGTGTGTGCAAAGGGCTAGCAGTTTCTCCAGAACCACCCCCTCAGTGAACTGAGGAACTAGGATTTATTTTCAACCTCACTGGCCTCAAAGATGCTGCTCTGAACAAATATTCAGCTACTTTCTTCCCACTAATTTTGGACCTCTCCATCATCCCCTTCCCCCATGCCCACCTGGCACCTTGCCATTATGCATAATAGGTTCCCAAGAAATAGTTCTAGAATGGGCAGCATTTGTGCTTCTTTTCTAAGAAGTCATCTTGTTTTTTTTTTTTTTTTTTACTTTCTAGAAGAGTGCTAACGTTTTATTTTGTGGTCAGAGAAATACCATCAGAGCACAATATTCAGTAGTTTCTCTTAAAAGTTTGTTGAATAAGTAAATGATAGTACCAGGGAGGAGCTCACACCTCTCTTCCCTCTACCGAGTGAGATGATTTTAGCACGGAAAGGAAGGGAAGTCAATGACCAGGCATTAAGGCTGAGGCATGAGAGGACTTCCCTGGTGGTCCACTGGCCAAGACTGCACTCCCAAGGCAGGGGCCTTGATCTGCCTTCCCAGGTGGCGCTAGAAGTCATCTTTTTAAAGGGACAACATGATGAACTATTGTCTAAGAGAGAAGTGAAGCACAGAAACATGCAACAGGACTCAACGTCTGTGTCCTGAGCTTTTTGTATGTGACCTTTATCATCCACTTAACAGAAACATTGATTTAGAATCATTGTGGCTAAATGTCCTCACTCAGTTCTCACCATTTCTCCGGACCTCTTTCTGGTCTCTTCCAAAAAGTGTTTGGAAGAGTGTTTATATCTGGGCCTCGTATTTTGAGCCAAATTACATACTTCTTCTTGTTCAGTTGCTAAGTTTTATCTAACTCTTTGTGACCCCATGGACTGCAGCATGCCAGGTTATGTGTTTGCATAATGCATGTGCCAGGTGATAGAGGGTCTGCATCTATCTTGATGAGTGAAAAATAAAGTGAAAGAGTGAACATCTTTTCTTGGTATATTATAAATCAGTTTTTTAAAGGATACTATTTGAATCATTTGGAATTACTTTTCTTTGTTTCAGTACTGCTCATCTAGCTATTTGATAAACCTGGGTTTTAATCTTAACCTCTCTGTAGAGCTTTCACTTTTATCAGGTGGGACAAATTGGGAGAGTAATATTTAGGTGTACACACTACTATGGGCAGAATAGTTAGTGAAAAGCTCTGCTCTGTGATGACCTAAAGAGGTGGAATGGGGAGATGGGAGGGAGGGGAAACACACACACACACACACACACACACACACACACACACACACACTCACACACACACAGAGGTAGCTGATTCATTTTGCAGTACAGCAGAATACATTTTGCAACACAACATTATAAAGCAATTATACTCTGATACAAACATCTGCTTCGATTGAAATACAACTGGTTACTGCTCCATTTTTAAACATTACCTTAGCGAGAGAACAATCATGTTTTAGACCATCAGTTAAATAGAACAATTTTTGTGTCCTTGGCATTTTCTAAGGAATAAGTAGCTTAAGTGAAATCAAACATTGAGAGATTTACAAAGAGAATCTGTCTAGGAGATAAGTCTAATAAAGATTTTGTTTTTCAGAGGCGACATTCCTTTGACTCTTTCTTATCATTAGATTCTTCCTGTGTTTGGTCAAAACTCAACTTCAAGTGGATTTATAATTTCAAAGAAATGCCAAATCATGTAAAAGATCATAATCATTCATTCTGAGTTGAGTTTAAAAGGAGATTGGGGGAGGGAGAGTAGTCCTCTAGAAATTAAATTTTAAAAATCTAAGCTGATTTAAAATTTTCAGTAACTTTGTCAAGGGATCAACTTATTAGGGAGAAAAAATAGAAATTTTGACATTATTTTTTAAAATATTTTAAATATTTATTTATGTATTTATTGGCTGCATCATGTCTTAGTTGTGGTGCCAGGCTCTGTAATTGTGGCATGTGGGATCTTAGTTCCTCAGTCTGGGATCGAACCCACATCCCCTGCTTTGGACGGCAGATTTTTAACCACTGGACCACCAGAGAAGTCCCAACGGTTCTTCTTTTAAGGGGCAATAAAGATCTCTCTCCATTGTTCTAGAGTGAAACTGTGATTCTTTGAGAACTTGAGTGAAGAGCTAGAACCAACAGCCTACTGTTGACCTCTCTCTTTTTTTCCTTTTCTTCCGTCTGCAGGTGACCTATCTGGGTAAGGTGCCCACCACAGGCATGCAGTTTTTGTCAGGCTGCACAGAAAAGCCAGTCATCGAGCTCTGGAAGAAGCACACATTAGCCCGAGAAGATGTCTTTCCAGCTAATGCCCTCCTGGAAATCCGACCGTTCCAAGTGTGGCTCCATCACCTTGACCACAAAGGGGAGGCCACAGTGCACATGGATACCTTCCAGGTGGCCCGCATCGCCTACTGCACCGCCGACCACAACGTGAGCCCCAACATCTTCGCCTGGGTTTACAGGGAGATCAACGACGACCTGTCCTACCAGATGGACTGCCATGCTGTTGAGTGCGAGAGCAAGCTGGAGGCCAAGAAGCTGGCCCACGCCATGATGGAGGCCTTCAAGAAGACTTTCCACAGTATGAAGAGCGATGGCCGGATCCACAGGAACAGCTCCTCGGAAGAGGTGTCCCAGGAATTAGAATCTGACGATGGCTGAGTGAACTGAGAGAGCTTCAGCAGAGGCAGCATTGGTCAAGGAATTCAAGACGACAGACGGATAAGCGATGATTCAAATTTGGGATGAAAAGACTGCCAAATTATTGGCTGACCAAGCTTTTTAAATTCAGAAGAGCAATTCTAAATCTAAAGAAATGTATTATTAAAGTAATTACGTTTCATTGAAATCTGCTGCTGCTGTGACTATGAGGAGGGTGGGAGTGTGGATGGGGAGGGAAGTTCTAGACTCTTCTTCTTCTTTTTTTGGCTCATTTTCCAATGCCTCCATTGTAGGAGTTCTCCATGCCGATTTCTCGCCACTCTCGGGCAAATATACTGCAGTTGTTATTCAATGCACCATTCCAACTTGCCTTATGAAACCCAACAAAAATGTTAGATGCACCTATAGAATCCCTGGTTGTGGGGGGAGATGGTGCGTGCTTCTGCTGGCGAGGAGGCCTCTGGGCTAAAGGAACAACGCAGAGCTCCTCTCCCCTGGCTGGTTTCAGATTCTCTCCTCAGTATGCAAATCAGCACAGCTTTATTGAGCTTTATAACTAACAACCTGATAGTTGGCAGTTAATTCACAGTTAAAGGCGATGCTTTTATTACATTGTGTATCCAGTAGCACCCTCTTCTTATTGTATTCACTTCATCTATTTTCTTAGAATACTTGCAACTACTAATAGCCCCTTTCCTCCGCCTGCCCCATCCACCCTCTCTGCCCTTCCAATTCACTACATTATCCCTGCAGGATTGCAGTCTCAACCTACATGGCAGGACATCAAAAGGGAAGACAATAATAACTAATGTAATGAAAGAATCAGTCAAACAAAGTGGGAGCTTCAAACCACCACCACCACCACAGAAAGTTCGGAAAAAGGGAATGAGTAATCAGCGAATATACAAAGCCCATGTGGGCTGTCCTTTCTTCATCTGCAACTTATGGTAACTTATTTAGTTGATGGTTCTATCTGATGACTCTTTCACGGCAAGCTTCATATCTGAGCTGGTATCACTAAGGAAGCGTTGACCCATCACTCAACATGGCACTTGAGTAGAGAACGGATTCTATAAACCAGACTTATCCAGAGAACCTATGTTCATTCGCAAGGGAAATCTGACCTTCTCTTCCAATTGGATTGATATCTTAGGGTCAGAGTTGCTGGTTTGTTGGGTATTTCTAATGAGAACTCACAAAGACAGCCTGAGTTTTCTTGGTTTGATGGATCTTTAAATATCATAAATGCAAAGAATCAACATTGAGTGACTGAAAGCATTGGTGAAAATCCACACATTTAAGGCCAAGAGCAGATGAACAGTCTTCCAGGTGCTTCTGCTCCTTTCTGAGAGTCTGTTTTGAATCCTGGTAACCATGTCAGGGGCCCTGGGACACCTTCCAGAAGCCTTAAATGAGAGTTTATAGAATCCAGAAAGCAGTGGTGTCGGTGTTTTGGTCTGTGTATCTGTGTGTCCGTTTATGCATTTGTGTGCGTGTACGTGTGCCCCCGAGCGTGGGTGCCATCTTAAGGCATGTAGAATAAGCATGGAGTTGTATTGAGGGGAGCACACCTCCTGGAGATCCGCTTGCTGCTTCACGACAAATGTAAACTACTCTTTAGCATAAATGTATTCATTCTTTAATAAAAAATATGTTTGCATTAAAAAACCTGAGGAGTTTCATATTTTATATGGCGTTCCTTTTTTTAAGTAAAGAAAACCTGAGGGACAAAACAGATCAAATTGAATAGATGTCTGTTTTACACATGAAAAGTGTTAGTCGCTCAGTCGAGTCCTCCTGTTTGAGACTCCCATGGATTGTAGCCTGCCAGGCTCCTCCGTTCATGGAATTCTCCAGGCAGGAATACTGAAATGGGTAGCCGTTCCCTTCTTCAGGGGAACTTCCCAACCCAGGGATCAAACCCAGCTCTCCTGCATTGCAGGCAGATTCTTTCCCATCTGAGCCACCAGGGAAGCCCCAGTTTTACACATGGTAGTTAGTGTGTATATGTTAATGATGCTCTCTCAATTCATCCCACCAGGCTCAAGAGGAAGGGATATATGTACACATATAGCTGATTCACATTGTTGTTTAGCAGAAATTAACACAATGTTGTAAAGTAATTATACTCCAATTTAAAGATAAATATAAAAAATTAATTTGAATAAATAGGGAATTCTCTCTAAACATATGTTAGAATTTGATAATCAGTGACTTATTCCTTGATGGTGTTTAAAAGCATCTTGCTTTATTTTTGAATACTATACCTATAGATAATGACTGCCCCTTCATTGAGATGGTAACATGTCAACAATGGAAAGAGTTACTTAGTGTGATAGTCTTATTTCAGAGGAGAATCTTCTGGAACATTTTGCAAATGATGGCTATTTATAAAATCTCACGTACCTCTCAGGAGAACCTGCACTGAAATCGTGGAAGGTAAACACGGAGTGATTCCTTCTGACAGAACTGGTTAAAAATGTCTCCTCCAGGCCATGATTTCTCAGAATAGCCCCATTAATCAAATAAGGCAGATGGCCCTGGAGCCTGTGTGTCTTGAGCAATGCCCTTCATGGGATCAGTCACAAATATAAAGGCTTTGAAAGTGAAAATATGGGTGCCTGCTAATGAGAAGAACTCAAGGAAGAATTACTACCTCACTCCTCCAAGGAAAATGGCATTTTCTTTCAAGTTGAACTTTTCTCATTTTCAGGTTCACTCTATTGTCCTTGAATATGCTTTGAAGAGGGGGAGGAAAAAAAGAAAAAAGAATCCAGCCAGCATATATTTCCAAACAGTGCCATTTTCCTCTCTCAGTAAAATTTGGATTGCAAGGGCACACATGGTTATTTATTGCAGAAAGCATCATTTGCTGGTATTTTTTTCAGGGTACCAACTGTGACGTGCTACATAATCAGCTCTGATAACATTGGCATGAGCATGTGTTTAGCGATTAGTAAGCAATTTAGAGATAAATACAGGACGACATCTTTCAAATAACTAATGAAGTCTTCTGGGACAGCCAATACCAATTCCCCTCAGAGGGGAGATTCAGACATGTATTATTTTTTAACCCTTTTTTTCCTCCATTTTTGTACTACTTTTTCTATACCAGTGGTCACGAAGCATTTTTCTGAACGTCAACTCGTAAGCCCCTCAGACAGATCCTGTTGGTGGGTATTTAATTTAGAGATGAAGAAACTGAGGTTCAGAGACATTGTATACCTTGGCTGAAGCAGCCCAGCTTGGGCATGTTTAATGGGGACTAAGACCCACTAACCTCTGATCCAGGGCAGTTGCTCTATTTTGGATATTTTATTTTCATTCCTTTTAAAACCCTCCAGCTTATTTTAAATTAGCATACTACGCCACTAGAAATAAACATTTTTGCTATTCATTTTTGAAGTATTTTTTATAGCAACAGAAAAAGTTTTAAAAGCAAACAAAGGTCCAAGAAGTTTTATTTGAGCACAAATAACATAATATGATATTTTTGCATCAGTGTTTTATTGGCTGTGGTCAATGGACAAAATACTCTCTCTACCCTAAAGAACAAAGATGAACGCTTCGTTTTGTTTTTCTTCTCTCTCTCTCTCTCTCTTTAGTCGCTAAGCCATGTCCGACCCTTGGGACCCCATGGACTATAGCCTGCCAGGCACCTCTGTCCACGGAATTCTCCAGGAATTCTACTGGAGTGGGTTGCCATTTCCTTCTGCAGGGGATCTTCCTGACCCAGGGATCGAACCCAGGTCTCCTGCACTGCAGGCAGATTCTTCACCTACTGAGCTACTAGGGAAGCCCTTTGTTTTTCTTAGGGTATGTTAAAACTTTGAATCAGATCTTTCTATTACAGGATTCTATAGCATCCTAGAATTTCCCTTCATGTCATTCATTGAAGTTTGCAATTATACATTTATTTGTATAATTATGTAATAGCTTTATAAGCCTCTGGAATGGAAATTTCTTTAAGATGGGGATTTTTTTTCTCTTTTATTCACATCTTATCCCCTGCTTTATCACAGGGCTGATCACCTAAGAGGAACTCAGTAAGTTTCTGTTAACAGGATGAAGGGAGGGATAGACAGAAGGAAAAATCTTTTTATGAGGCTTTGGTTTGCAAGTTCCAGCACAAAACCCTGGAAAGAACCCTAGAGACCCTTGCCCATGTCCTTCAAAGGTGAGCAAATGGGCTTTTTACTAAAGGCAAACATCATTCCTTACCTAATTCCAGAACAAGTTTGTGGCTGCTTATAGATAGAGAAAGAATGTTCAATGTGAGCTGTATGATTGAAATAGAGCAAACACTATCCCAGGGAAGTGGACAGATAATGTCTTTTGAGGCACCTGCATTTAATAGATTACAGAATTCTTGTCATATATTTGACTTTGTTTATTCCTGTGTCAGGAAAGAGAGAGAGTGACAGGGGAGGATGTCTTAATTTTCTGATAGTATGAAGCATATGAATTTAACTTTTCCCCCCAAGTTTATACTTCAGAAAATACTTTTTTTTAGTCCTCTCTATCTGCTTTTCTCCATTTTGACTCTCCTCCTCCTTTCCCGCCTTTCTTACTTTTCAATTGAATTATGTACATCACACCATCCTAGACTGTCTCTGATTTTAGCAGGAAAGAGCATATATTATGCTCTGAATCTGAGATTACTTGTTTTGGTTCATGGTCCATATATGCAAAATTTGACAAGACTATCAGACCCTGCCGATGATCTTAAATTGCTTTTATTATTTTTTTCCCCAGTCAGATGGAACATGATGACAATTCTCCATAGCCTGGTATTTCTTAGGCATTCCTAAAAATGTGATATCTTCTCATCTCTTCAATATACCTTAGACTAAACTGCAATGAAGGGAAGGAGTCCCCTAATTGTCATATTCTTATTGATCTTTAAGAAGCTTTCCTGTTGGGCTTTTGTAGTAATTTTATGGGATGCCTTGTTCAACTTAAGAACTTTCATTGCTTTTTTTTTTTTTTTGAAGAGGTTCCAGCTGATAATAGTCACCAGAGAAGAACTATGTTTATTACATAAACGAAACTTAGAAAGAAAAACAATTGATGGGTAAAGCGAATCACTAACAGGAAGAAAAAATCTAAACCATCTTCATTTGGACATTTGAAAATAAACTACATTTATTAAAAATGAATCTAAGCCATGCTCGTGTACACTTGAGCAAAGCTGGCATTCACAGAGAGATCTGGGGAACTGTTTCTCATGGCATGTCCTCGTAAGATTAGCTTGGATTTTGCTTTTGCACCCAAATTTAGGCATTGAAGCAGAATCGGAATAGTTTTTTCGCTTACAAAACTTAATGATTTTCCTTCAGAAACGTTCTCAAGTACCTGCTTTTCAATAACTTGACTTAGAGGCTGCTACAAGAAAGTGCTGATGTATTCTGAAAATAGAACTAGTGATTTATTACATGTAATTTCAAGTCCTTCATAAAAATCCCCAATAATGGGCCATACTTTCATATCTATAACTTCATTTGACAACTGTTTTCTTAATGTTTTTATCCATTTATCTAAACATACATAATAGACTGAGGCTGAGTCATTTGAAAACATTACCAGATTCGTGAAATAAAATGTGACATTACATGGGACCTGCTTGATTTCAACCCTGTCATTACATGGCCTGATTACCATTCCAGAATTTTTTGTCTTTGGAGGGCAAAGCTTAAAAGAAACCTTTAAGGTAACACCTACTTGCAAAGAAGAGCCAAGAGTTGACTCCATTCCAAGGTAACTTTTTAATGTAAACTTGGGATCAAATAAGACCAAGGCTCATCCCAGGCCTGAACACGATGGTTGTGATACCAATTTTGCATAGAAAAAGTATAATAATAATTGTTATTATGTTCATAATTGGATTACCTTCATGTATGCTATTATTGTTATAAAAACATTTTAATTGGGAAATTAGGATGGAATTAGACCTTTAATTCAGTCTTTCACCAAGTTATCTATTGCCGTTCTCTATTTTATTGCAACAGCTTTTCCTAGGCTTTAGACCACACTTTTAGAAATTAGCACAGTAAAACTTCATTAATTTAGCAAAACCCAATTAGGAGACTGTGATTTTGGCTTTGAAAAGCTCAAGTTTTATGTTTATTTTTAATAAACAAATAAGATTAATTAACGTTGTTATTGAAAGTATTTGCCTATTTTGGAAAACACTGTTTCCACATATTCAAATAACAATTTGCTAAACATAGCGTAATTTCAGCATAAGTAGAAGCTGGTATGACTGAAAGTGAGGCTTTGATTGCTGGTTTCAACCTATTCTTCTCTATTAAAGTGGGTTCTCCACAAAGCAACTGATGGTTTATGCAGTTCTAGAATTCAGAATGCCAATTTAAAAAAAATACAGTATTTACATATATCTTTAACTTTAATTAGTATAATTGTTTGAAAAAATCCTTAAGTGACTAACTCTTCTTTTGTCTCGCAGAAACATCAGTATCAAAACAGTTAAAATAGAAGTTATTATCTGATCACAAGCTTTAATAATTTACTGTTACTAGTTTTTTTCCCCTTAAATTATCAAGATGCTAAGTCTTTGTGAATCACCTTAAGAAGCTCAGTAACTCATCAGGATCATATAAAAAGTCAATCAAAAAGTCAATTATTACCAGTAATCTTTAGTGGCTGGTTT